CGCGCGTGTGTGGGAGGGAAACAGAGAGAGATGGGGGGTGGGGCGCGCCGGCCGTTAGATACGTTTAATATTTGCCGTCCACCACCTTTGCCGTCCGCTAATGTGCGCTTTGCCGTCCGCTAGCGGACGGCAAAGAGGGGGGCCGTTAAGTATTTTTTAACCAGCTCCTCAGTGGGGCCCCCTCCCTATTTGCCATCAGCTCGCAGACGGCAAAGAACAGGCTGATGGCCTTTGCCATCAGCCTGTTCTTTGCCGTCTGCTTTCAGGTAGTTGATGGCAAAGAGCTTCTTTGCCGTCCGCTAGCGGACATCAAAGAGCTGGCAGATGGCAAAGTAGCTGATTCCAGTAGTGAAGGGCATATCTTTTATTCTTGTCGCATACTTCATGCAAAGAGTCATGGTGATCTTCACCTTTCCTTTTTACATTTTATCCTTTGGCAAGCACAATGTGTTGGAAAGATCCTGATATATATGGCTGATTGGATGTGGATTTTCATGAACTATTATTGTTGACATTACTCTTGAGGTAAAAAGTTGGGAGGCAAAACTATAAGCCCCTATCTTTCTTTGTGTCTGATTAAAACTTCATAACCATAAATATCGCATCAATGTTAGCAATTGTGAAAGACTAAATGATGGTTGAGTTTGTGAACTTGCTGAGAACCTCTTATATTGACTCTTTCCTATATTATGATAAATTGCAATTGCTTCAATGACTGAGATTATAGTTTGTTAGTTTTCAATGAAGTTTCTGATTCATACTTGAGTATGCGAATAAATTGTTACTTTAGCATGGGAGATCATATGGCAATCTCTCCCTAATAATAAAGCACCGATTGAGTCTCCGGGTTCACCGTCGCGCGCTTTTTACAAAAGAGACCCTGTAGTTTCTGATATTAAACCCGCACTCCCTTTTTAAAGTGGCTAGTCTGAAAAACGTTTTGCTAAAACAACCAAACCTCCGCCTCCTCCCCTGCTCTTCCATCGACCACAGAAGCCCACCCAAGTCCTCGCTCGCTCGCCGAGATCCATGGCGGCCGCGGCGGCTGGGAGAGGACGCGCATGGGAGGAGAGTTCGGTGAGCTCTTGTGGACCTGCTGTCCATCATGTGGGCCAGCAACCGCTGCCGCTACCAGCAGCAGGAGGCGTGGGCGGAGATCCCCTTGTGGGGCCGGCGCCGGCCGAGGAAGGCCCCGGCGGTGCCGCCGAACGAGAAGCCCGCGGCCGATGACGATAGTAGCGAGGGCGTCGCCAGGCCGGACACCACACTCGCCTTCCCCGAGGACGATGAGGCGGCGGCGACAGACGATGAGGCCAAGGCCGGCACACAAGACAAGGTGAGCCGCCGAGCCGCGAGATCTGCGCCCGTCCGCCTCCCTCCGCCAATTTGGCCCGCTTTGATTTTGATTTCTTGCTGCTCCTTGACGTGTTCGTCCTTCCCTCTGCCTTCGCTCAGTGGCCGAGGTGGATCTATAGGCCACCGAGGTTGCCTATGTCGTGGGATGAGGAGGAGGATGGCGAATGGGAAGCACCAAAGATTGACAACCCCAACTCACCAAGTGTGAAGAGGCACCTGGTTGTGGTGAATGGAAGAGGCCGATGAAGCAGAATCCTTCCTACAAAGGCAAGTGGCATGCGCCCCTGATTGACAACCCCAGCTACAAGGGAATCTGGAAGCCCCAAGATATCCCCAACCCTGAGTACTTTGAGCTTGACAAGCCTGACTTTGATCCAATTGCTGCTATTGGAATTGAGATCTGGACAATGCATGATGGCATCGTTTATGGCAATATTCTTTTTGCCGATGATTAGAAGGCAGCCACCTCTATCCTGGAGAAGACATGGAAGCCCAAGTTTGATGTTGAGAAGGAAAAAAGCAGATGGCTCAGTGGATCATCTAGCCTCCCACTTGGCAAGGTGCAACGGCCCTCTTCTTGTTTTCTCTTTCCCAAGAGAACATCATGGATTATCAGCAGGATTGAGCCGATGATCTAGATCGAGCAGGTCAAAGGAACTTGCCAGCAACACTCCTCTTTGATCTGGTATGTCGTTCATCTCGGGTGATTTCTACCCTGGAAAATAACATGGAACATCAAAAACTGCATTTTGAAAAGGTTACTCGAAACTTGATTTTATTGATCCTGCATTTATGAAAATTTATGAATAGGACAATCGTTCGTGTTTTCTTCCAGATGTTCTAATGTATAAAACGATGCCATGATAGTTGGCATTCATGCTTCAAGTATGAGATCAGCTCAACCATCTCCAATAGTCTTCTTTCTTGCTATCCAGGACTTAAAAGAGCAGAAAATCTTTGAGCAAGGGGTGGATGGGGGTACACGGTTTGGTCCCCTGTGCAGAATAAAATAGTTTTATAATACATAGGCTACAATTTTCAGAACGGAAACACAGGTAGGTTCCAGTTGTGATTCCGATGTACAACTTCGATTAGTATTTATTCCCACCGGCTGTATATACTGCCTATGAAATTTGTGGAATTTTGATCAAATTTGTAATGCATGGCCTGTCAGCTTATTCGCTGTTATCTATCTTGTTCATCTGTTAGCCCAGCTAAAATAATTCTGTTGTTTGTATTTGATTGAAAAATATCATGAGCTTACGAGTTGATTTCACATATTCATTTGACAAGCCCAGTTGTGTTTGGCAACCTCTGGCTTAATTTTCAATTTGACAGTCCTATTGTTTAGCATGTCTGATATCCCACGCAATTTGTACAAGAACCAAAGGATTATTGTAGTCTGCATGTGTGCATCCTTTGTAACTATCAGTCTATTATGGTAACTGACAATAAATTATGATGGCATCCAAGGATTTGTACCCTGACTATAATGCTTTGCCATCACCTTATATTATGAGTTTGATATTTTAGGAAGCGTGTTACTTAGAACAACTTATTAAGGTTATCTGAAAACATAGATTACACAAAACCTGAGTTTTTGGATAGACAAGAGCAAGTTGATTATGATGTTATCTTTTCTGCATAGCATGGACGCCCTGCACTGCCCCCACCAGGATTGCGCTGCCTTGCCCTGCCCGATCGACGCCGGCTACGTCGCTACACTCCCCATGGCCAGGTAAGCGCCTAGGCCAAGTAACAAGTTATCACATCTTCGTGATCCAGTTAAATGTGCCAATGGACAAGTATGTACCATCCTACAGATATTGTTGTCATTGTTCTTCTGTTGTCAGTATGACAAAAAAAGAATTCATCCAGTCCAGGCCCTCCTCCTTAGTGCACGATGGTAATGTGTGTGTTGTGGTCAGCTTGCAGTGGCAGATAGTTCACAGTCCCAACTCCAGTGTTAACTCTGTTGTTCTCTTACTAATACTTCCATAAGATAAGATTGTAAACTAAATCTGCTGTTGTGTCATATTATTATCATCTGATTACTAATTAAACTAATAGTAAGATATTTTATACCCTTTTGTAGATGGTGCAGACTTTGCAGGTGTTCAGAGAAATGATGTGCTATTCAAGGGGTTTGGGAGCACTAATAAAGAATCTCTTGCTGAACTTTTTGTACCACTAATGATTAAAGTGACTTCTTTATAGTTTGCTTCAATTTATTATAGGAGGATATCTGGTGCAAAAGCACAATTCGGTGCAGCCATGCTTTTTTGTCGATGAATTTAATTTGACAATGTTCCTATATAGTTCCAGTTATAAATGTAGCCTTAGCTCCTTGCAGCAAACATCTCCACGTAAAGTTAATTCCACCATGTGTTTAACCTCTAAACTCACCTGACACCGCCTGTAATGGGATGACGTTGTTCATTTGAGCGATGACATTGTTGTCATTTGCCCTTCAGATCATTTTCCTCTAAAACAGTGATTAATTAAGTAACTTTGTTCTTCAATATGATGATCCTCTTTCCTCAGAACATGATTAAGCCACGTGATTCCATCATGTAGTGTATAGCTTGTCCTAGCTCAACTTACAGTTGTTATTTAGCTCCTCCATTTTCTAACAATGTGCACATGGCTACGTTTGGGAACCTTGGAAACAAAATGCAATTGCGATATTTGGGATTGAAAGCAAAAAAAAAAGGTGGGAAGCTGTCCCGTAATAACAAGGAAAGAGGGATTCCGGGAAAAAAGTGGGAAGCCAGACGTCCCGTAAAAAGAAGAAAGTGTCCTAATAAGGAAGAATGGAGAGAACAAAGAAGGAAAGGAGGGATTCCGGGAATTGATAATAAAGAAGGAAAGGGAGAGATTTCTGGGATTGATATTAAAGAAGTAAACCAGCTAGAAATCAATCAAAAGTCCCCCCCTCAAAAAAAATTCATCCTCTGCCCTAGCTATAATCCCATGACCGAAGTTTTACCCTGTCCATAACTCGAGAGAAAATTATATTAGAATCATTTATTTATTGTTTATAATCACCGAGAAAAATTATGTTAGAAAATACTGTGCCTAAGTCATAATAAAGAAATTATTTATTTATTGTTCATGTACAATAAATTTTTGAGAATTATAATGAAAAAGATAGTACCGGTTAAAAATAGGTGCTTGATTGTTGGGCATGAATAGTGCTATGCTACACAATCCCTAAACCTAGCCAACATTGCTTCATGAAAATTCGTGTTACCTCCGTAGTGAAGCAAAAAACATTGTACTAAAATGGACTTTACTATTTACGGTATAATGCGATATGTTTTGGGCATCATTAAGCAACTCCAACAAAGGCATGAAAAGATACTCACAACCAGGCAGATATCTCTATGATTTAAATTCCACACACCTTTAGTACACTTCTGAAATACGTTTATATTTTTCTGCAGTACATTTTTTTATGGCAGGATGGAGGATTTCAAAGAGTTTATTCATTTCCTCATGCCTGGCGGTGTGTCATGGAATGAGAGAGGGTCTTGAGCAATTGGATTAGGAAAGTGTGCTTTTTTTCACCCGATGCAACACACGGGCATTTGTGCTAGTGTGTATATATATATATATATATATATATATATATATATATATATATATATATATATATATCTGTGTGTGTGTGTGTTGTTCTAAGAATGATCATGATGCCCTCATGTCCGTATTTTATTTTATCGACACCTCTATCTCTAAACATGTGGACATATTTTTCGATTTCGGCTTTCGTTTGAGGACAAGCGAGGTCTAAGCTTGGGGAGTTGATACGTCCATTTTGCATCATGCTTTTATATCGATATTTATTGCATTATGGGCTGTTATTACACATTATGTCACAATACTTATGCCTATTCTCTTTTATTTTACAAGGTTTACGTGAAGAGGGGGAATGCCGGTAGCTGGAATTCTGGCTGGAAAAGGAGCAAATATTAGAGACCTATTATGCACATCTCCAAAAGTCCTGAAACTTCACGGGAGCACATTTTAGAATATATAAAAGATATTGGGCGAAAGAAGTACCAGAGGGGGGCTGTCGGTGTCAAAACCGGCGGATCTCGGGTAGGGGGTCCCGAACTGTGCGTCTAGGCTGGATGGTAATAGGAGGCAAGGGACACGAAGTTTTACCCAGGTTCGGGCCCTCTCGATGGAGGTAAAACCCTACGTCCTGCTTGATTAATATTGATGATATGGGTAGTACAAGAGTAGATCTACCACGAGATCGAGGAGGCTAAACCCTAGAAGCTAGCCTATGGTATGATTGTTGATGTGTATATTGTCCTACGGACTAAAACCCTCCGGTTTATATAGATACCGGATAGGGTTAGGGTTACATAGAGTCGGTTACAATGGTAGGAGATCTAAATATCCGCATCGCCAAGCTTGCCTTCCATGCCAAGGAAAGTCCCTTCCGGACACGGGACGGAGTCTTCAATCTTGTATCTTCATAGTCCAGGAGTCCGGCTGAAGGTATAGTTCGGCCATCCGGGCACCCCCTAATCTAGGACTCCCTCAGTAGCCCCTGAACCAGGCTTCAATGACGACGAGTCCGGCGCGCAGATTGTCTTCGGCATTGCAAGGCGGGTTCCTCCTCCAAGTACTTCATAGAAGATTTCGAACACAAAGATAGTGTCCGGCTCTGCAAAATATGTTTCCACATATTGCCATAGAGAGAATAATATTTACACAAATCTAATCTGCTAACGTATTCTGTAGTGTGACATCACACCACGGCCAAGCTTTTATTCGAACCATTTTACTGTCCCATCTCAGCGCGTTATGCGAGGCGGTTTCGTTGGCACGTCTTGTTAAAGCAGAAATCGTGTCCCCTTATTCCGGGATTCTCATCAATACGGGCGTGGGTAACCCAACCGCGCCTTTGATTACGGCACTTGGGAGATAAGCGAGTTTTACCAGGCTGGTGGGGACATGTAGTTGCGTCCACCCATATAAGGGGATAAGGATCCACCTTTTCACCTACGCCTTCTTCCTCCTTTGCCTATCCATTCTTGCGCACTCGAGCTCCAGCGCCCAAGTCCGCACTCCTCACCTCGACCTTCTCCAGCCATGTCCGGAGCGGGAGGCAAGTGGATGGTCTCCTCCGTGACGGAGGGACACATCAAAAAGCTGAGGAAGGCCGGATATTTGGCTAGCAACATCGCGCACCGGCTTCCCAAAACGGGGCAGCTCATCCCCACTCCCAGGCCCCATGAGAGGGTGGTATTCCTCCCTCATTTCCTCCGCGGACTGGCCTTCCCTCTGCACCCATTTGTCCGGGGGCTCATGTTCTACTACGGCCTGGATTTCCACGATCTGGCCCCGAACTTTGTCCTCAACATCTCGGCGTTTATCGTCGTGGGCGAGGCTTTCCTCCGCATCCGTCCCCATTTCGGCCTATGGCTCAAGACTTTCA